GGAGTTTGCTGAAACCTTATGGGTGCAGCAAGAACATGCCATGGCTATCCAGTCCTTGAACGATTTGATTCTACAGCGTAACGAAATATTGAATCGGAAAGTGGACTCTATCATGGATTTAGATTTGACTCATGAAGAAGCTCAGGAATGGGCATCATTATACGCACTCTTGGTATGTCCGTGTATCCTTCTCAGACATTCGCTGAACTCTTGTAGGGTACCTGGGCTTTTGTAGCACGTTCTTCTAATCCACAAGATATTAGGACCCTTTATTTCGATCCAGCAGTAGTATTGTTGGACCCCCTCGATCAGATTCGACGACGAGGTGCCAAAACAGTTTACTACCAATATGCAGATTTTGCGGACAAGCAACTTCGTCAGCTCGAGGGTTCTGACGAATACAAAAGGAAAAAAGACTGGGTAGCAAGACTCCAGGGTGAACTTGATGACCTCAAAGAAAACTACAAAACAGCGCGCTCGCAAGCAGAAAAAGAAGACATTCGCCGACAGAAGGAAAGGACTCAAAAATTATTAGATATCGATGAGAAAGGCTTGAACGACTCCGAGTCCTCACTGAAATCCTTCCTACAACAAGCAATCGCTATGTATGCACACTACATGGAAGTATCCCATGATCAAGACCAGGAAATTGCTATAAGATTCTGTGGCTTATGGTTCTCGAAATTTGAAAGCGAAGTTGCAGCAGAAAGTATCAGAAATGCGCTCCAAAAGATCTCAACCTACAAGCTACTTTTCCTTTCTCATCAATTAACCGCTCGATTGGGAACTGGGTCAACGAAAGATGGAGGAAGACGAAATCAGCGATATATTCATCAATTGGTTGAAGCTATGTGTATTCAGCATCCGTATCACTCGTTACTTCAGGTCCTCACAGCAAAAGGATCCGAACGCCCCTTGTCAAATAACGAGCAGCCGTCATCTGAAGATCTATACCCAGAGAGAAGCGAAGAAGCCCAAAAAATCGTTGATAATGTTCGAAGCGCCAGTCATCAACAAAGTGGCAGTAACTATGACCGTCCAAAGTTCTTTCTCAACACAATGGAAGAAGCGTTCGAGGCTTTCATCGAATGGGCAAGGTTCCCCATAAAGCAACTGGGATACAAAAGCGGGATGATGATCTCGATTCCACGAAGTATCGCCCTGTATCATTGGACTTGGGACGAGACAACAAAACGAGACAGACCGGAGCCACTTCCAATACCAGTGGTGACGGCAGATCTCCCTGTCGAAATGGATGGACAATATAACAGAATACCAACTCTACATTATTATTTACGCCAATATAATGTCGCAGGTGGGGTTAATCTTCCCAAAATTACGATCTGTAAGGATTCTCTAGGACGTACCCATAAACAACTTGTGAGTTCAATTAAGTATCAAGACTCCGACTGACCACCAAATATAACAGTTCAAAGGGGAAGGAAATG